TCCGCTCCTGCAGCAGGTTCTTGGTCTTACACCTCCTCCTCCTCCCTTAGAGGGTCCGCAGCCTGTCCGGTCATAGCCACAGCTACAGCCTGCCTCCCCTTTGCCTGCTCCTTCTCCCTACGCTGGTCCGACTGGAGGTCTTACTGAGCGTCGTGAGCCTGCGTCTCGTCCTGTGTCGCCTGTTCGTACTGAGCGCGCTAGTGGTCGCGGGTCGCGTCAGCGTCCTCCTCCTGTCCCTGGCACGCACCGGATGTCACTGCGTCCGTCCACTGCTCCTCTGCGTGCCCCTTTGCCTTCTCCTCCTGCTTCCTCTCTTCCTGCTCTTGCCGACCCGGAGTCGGACTCTCTTCGTGCTGCCAGTCCTACTGTCACGCGTCTCCTTGCTACTGCTGTCACTGACCCTTCCTTCGAGTCGTCTGCTGCGTCTGCCCTTGTCACTGAGCTTGTCGACTTTGCTGCGCGCTGTCGTCTAGACTACGCTGCTCGTCTTGTCACTGAGTCTGAGTCCGCCTGTCCTCCGTCCGTCGGGGGTGAGTGTGCCCTTGGCACGGACGTCCTTGAGGACAGGCAGGAGGAGTTCCAGTGTCTCGCCGCCGCTTCACCTCGTCTCGCGTCTGTACTGCTAGTCCCTGAGGGAGACCCGGATGCACCAGACATCCCGACTCCGCGCTCTTACGCGGAGGCGATAGAGGGTCCCTACTCCTCTCAGTGGCAGGCAGCTATGGATGCAGAGATGGCTTCCTGGAAGTCCACAGGCACCTACGTTGACGCTGTTCCCCCTCCTGGGGCGAACATCGTCAGTGGCATGTGGATTTTCAGGGTGAAGCGGCCGCCGGGTTCTCCGCCTGTCTTCAAGGCGCGTTACGTGGCTCGTGGCTTCAGTCAGCGGCAGGGGGTTGACTACTTTCAGACCTTCTCCCCCACCCCGAAGATGACCACTCTTCGGGTTCTGCTGCACGTTGCTGCTCACCGTGACTACGAGCTGCACTCTCTCGACTTCAGCACAGCTTTCTTGCAGGGCAGCCTGCACGAGGAGATCTGGCTGCGTCGCCCACCTGGCTTCACTGGGTCTTTCCCTCCTGGTACCCAGTGGAGTCTCCGGCGTCCAGTCTACGGTCTCCGCCAGGCGCCACGTGAGTGGCACGACACACTGAGGACTACGCTCGCGGCACTTGGGTTTGCTCCTTCTACTGCCGACCCGTCGCTGTTTCTGCGCACCGACACCTCTCTGCCGCCGTTCTACATCCTCGTGTACGTCGACGACTTGGTCTTTGCCACAGCTGACACTGCTGGACTCGCCTACGTGAAGTCCGAGCTGCAGAAGAGACACACGTGCACTGACCTGGGTGAACTGCGCAGCTACCTTGGCTTGCAGATCACCCGGGACAGAGCACGCCGCACCATTACCCTGACTCAGTCACACATGGTGCAGCAGGTCCTTCAGCGCTTCGGCTTCACGTACTCCTCGCCTCAGGCCACTCCTCTGCCTACTCGCCACTCGCTCTCAGCTCTGCCTTCGGATGAGTCCGTAGAGTCGAGTGGCCCGTTTGCAGAGCTTGTTGGCTGCCTCATGTACCTGATGACCTGCACACGACCTGACCTCGCATACCCTCTTAGCATTCTCGCACGCTTTGTTGCTCCTGGGAGACACCGACCAGAGCACATGGCTGCAGCGAAGAGGGTGTTGCGCTACTTGTGCAGTACGTCGGGCATGGGGCTAGTGCTTGGAGGGCGCAGTCCAGTGGTCCTCACTGGGCACGCAGACGCTTCTTGGGCTGACGACCAGGCTACGCAGCGGTCGTCACAGGGTTACACCTTCAGCCTTGGTTCCGGCTCTGTCTCGTGGCGGGCTACCCGCTCGTCTTCTGTTCTCGGCTCCAGTTGTGAGGCTGAGATCTACGCTGGGGCTATGGCTGCACAGGAGTTACGCTGGCTCACCTACCTGCTGACCGACCTTGGAGAGCAGCCTCGTTCTCCTCCAGTCCTGTACGTAGACAACAAGGCCATGCTGGCCTTGTGTCGAGAGCAGCGACTGGAGCACAGAACGAAGCACATTGCTCTCCGCTACTTTCTTGCGCGTGAGCTACAGCAGCGTGGACAGTTGCGACTTGCGTACGTGGCCTCTGAGGCCAACACTGCTGATGTCTTCACCAAGGCACTTGCGCCTTGTGATCATCAGCGTTGTTGCACGCAGTTGGGTCTTGTGCCTGTCTTGCCTCACTTGCTCTCCTCTTGACCTTGCTTGTACCTTCGCCTATATATACTCTTGCTCTTGCTTGCTTGACTCTTGTATATCTCTATATATGATCTTGCATGTGAACTGGCCTTCTGGCCTTTGAACTTGTGCTCGGAATGCGTGGTGACTTTGTGATCCACCCTGAGCTTTGCTTTGCTTTGCTTGACTGGTCTTGTGACCCCTTGTTCTCCCCCACTTTGCCTATGGGGGTGTGTCAGAACATATAGCTTACTTGTTTCTGTAGGCTATAGTGGGGTATCCCATAGGGGGTACAACACAATTAGGGTTTCCTATTTGTATTCACTTCACTTCATAGTCATTCATTCTCGTTCACACTTTCTCACTTGCTTGTACTGTCACTTATATATACTCTTGCTCTTGCTTGCTTAGCCTCTTGTATATCAATTTATATGTGTTCTTGCATGTGAACTGGCCATTTGGCCTTTGAACCTGTGCTCGGACTGTGTGGTGACTTTGTGATCCACCCTGAGCTTTGCCTTGCTTTGCTTGACTGGTCTTGTGACCCCTTGTTCTCCCCCACTTTGCCTATGGGGGTGTGTCAGAACATTATAGCTTACTTATTTGTGTAGGCTATAGTGGGGTATCCCATAGGGGGTACAACCCAATTAGGGTTTCCTATATGTACTCACTTCATTCATCTTCCAAAAAAAACGAATTCACTAAAACCTACAGCAAGGGAGAGTGTTGGAAATCCGAATACAGTATGGCGAATACTGTATACTGTTATGCTGTTCGGTTTTAGTGTAGTCTCGTTTATAAGCCTCCAGGTCCTACAATAATTGTCACAATTATTGTAAATAATTGTCACAATTATTGTAAATAATTGTCACAATTATTGTAGGGCCAGAATTATTGGAGTTCAGCATTATTGGAGGGTAGAGGGTTAAATTATTGATACACCATTATTGGTGCGAATGGGCCATTTTGGGAGGGATAGATGGATGCATAAATACCATGCTCTATCACTTGTTCAACATCATTCCGGTTTTCAATGATCGATGCAAGATTTCTATCTTGTTCTTTTCTACAAATACGTTTCCGCTAGGCTGGCACTGTGCCTTTCTAGCATGAATGACTACAGCGAGGCCAAACAGTTGGATATGTATAGAGCATCGTATTCTCCCGGACAAAACATCCGCCGAAGTTGTACACCCCTCGAGTAGCTTGTGCAGGGTGGGTGCTATAGGCGACCTCGTTTGTACTATACCCCCCTATCTGGGTGATTTTTTATAGCACCCCGCTTTTCTTACAGATTCCTTATTAATTGTTAACTAGTGCCGGTGCAAGTAAGGGAGGATATCGCGAAAATCTCTCCCTCGATGAAATTTCGCGGTTTTTTCACTTTGAATCCGTCGACATTTCCCCCCTCCCACTATTTCGTTGTCGACACGCGCTGTTGAATTGGATCTTCTTTTGCAAGCAGGGCCTCAGATTCGTTTTTTGCCTGTCTGATTTATCAGACTTGTCTACAGTTTTTGTCTGAAACTGTCAGAGTTGGTTTTCCTAAAACTCTTAAATTTCAGAGTCACAATAAAAAAAAGTCTGAAACGTTCAGACTCAACCCCATTGAGAGTCTTATCTGTTTGTGATTGGCATTCATTAAACTACATTATAATGACATTAGATTAGACTAGGTGCTCTACATCCTTCCTACCTACCTAGGTAAGTTATCTACCCCACTGATCAAATCCATCATCATCATCACTATCAGATGCATCATTATCCTCTATGTCTTCTACTTCCATCACCTCGTCTGCCAGCTTGGCCCTGTTCTACTGCTTTCCTGCAGGCGGTAGTGGAGCGTTGCTGTGGGACTTGCGCTTCTTGTAGGCCCTCTAGATTGTCACAATCTCCTCCCACTTGGGCTTGTACTCCATGAGACTCATGCACATGAGATCTCTGAGCCGTGCGTCCTTCAGCGACCCTCTCTGCCACGACTAGATAATGTTCTGGAGAACCCGCGCTCGCACTCCACGGTGCTCAGCGGTAGTACAGCTACCGCCACCCACAAAAGCACAAGGTTGGGGTAGTTGTCCCACCAGCCGGGTGTCTTGGGCATGGCTGTGAGCCCGCGTGGAAGCTGCGCTCGCCTTTGGTAGAGGCTGCAAGCACCGAGGAGAACATGCGCAACTCCTTCTCTGCACGGCGCTTGTTGATTACTGGCGGGGTTGGGAAAAGGATAACAAAAGAACAAACTGAGTAAACATATACAAACATACATTGGAGCTTAGCACATAACACAATCAGAGAAACGATGAAGTACACTAGGCTTACCTGGCAGTATCTCTTCCGTTAGGTTGGCCTTGAACAAAGTCACAAGCGACTGTAGCCACTGAAGGCACCTCCGATTACTCGTCAGGGATGAACAGCTTAACCCCCGACATCCCATCCTGTTGAAATCAATGAACAGGAATGATTGAACTAACAGTGAAATCAGTACAAGTACCTAACCCTAGAATTGTGTACCTCCTATAGGCTAACCCACTGTAGCCTAAACAAGTGCAACATATATAATGTTTGACACACACCCATAGGCGAAGTGGGGGAGAAGTAGGGGTCACAAGACCAGTCAAGGAAAGCAAAGCAAAGCAAGCTCAGGGTGGATCACAAAGTCACCACACATTCCAAGCACAAGTTCAAGGCCACAAGGCCAATTCACATGCAGGAGTACACACATATATATATATATATAAGACTAGACAAGCAAGAGCAGGTATATATATATGTAACAGTACAAGTAAGGTCAAGAGGAGAGCAAGTGAGGCAAGACAGGTACAAGACCCAGCTGGGTGCAGAAGCGCTGATGATCACAAGGCGCAAGTGCCTTGGTGAAGACATCAGCAGTGTTGGCCTCAGAGGCCACGTACGCAAGCCGCAACTGACCACGCTGCTGTAGCTCACGAGCAAGGAAGTAGCGGAGAGCAATGTGCTTTGATCTGTGCTCCAGTCTCTGCTCTCGACACAAGGCCAGCATGGCCTTGTTGTCTACGTATAGGACTGGAGGAGAACGAGGCGGCTCTCCAAGGTCGGTCAGCAGGTAGGTGAGCCAGCGAAGCTCCTGAGCAGCCATGGCTCCTGCGTGGATCTCAGCCGCACAACAGGAGCCGAGAACAGAAGACGAGCGGGTAGCCCGCCACGAAACAGAGCCGGAACCAAGGCTGAAGGTGTAACCCTGTGACGACCATTGCGTAGCCTGGTCGTCAGCCCAAGAAGCGTCTGCGTGACCAGTGAGGACCACTGGACTCCGCCCTCCAAGCACTAGCCCCATGCCCAACGTACTGCACAAGTAGCGCAACACCCTCTTCGCTGCAGCCATGTGCTCTGGTCGGTGTCTCCCAGGAGCAACATGGCGTGCGAGAATGCTAAGAGGGTATGCAAGGTCAGGTCGTGTGCAGGTCATCAGGTACATGAGGCAGCCAACAAGCTCTGGGTACGGGCCACTCGACTCTACGGACTCATCCGAAGGCAGAGCTGAGAGTGAGTGGCGAGTAGACAGAGGAGTGGCCTGAGGCGAGGAGTACGTGAAGCCAAAGCGCTGAAGGACCTGCTGCACCATGTGTGACTGAGTCAGGGTGATGGTGCGGCGTGCTCTGTCCCGTGTGATCTGCAAGCCAAGGTAGCTGCGCAGTTCACCCAGGTCTGTGCACGTGTGTCTCTTCTGCAGCTCGGACTTCACGTAGGCGAGTCTAGTAGTGTCAGCTGTGGCAAAGACCAAGTCGTCGACGTACACGAGGATGTAGAACGGCGGCAAAGAAGTGTCGGTGCGTAGAAACAGTGACGGGTCGGCAGTAGAAGGAGCAAACCCAAGAGCCGCAAGCGTAGTCCTCAGTGTGTCGTGCCACTCACGCGGCGCCTGGCGGAGACCGTAGACTGGCCGCTGGAGGCTCCACTGGGTGCAAGGAGGAAAAGTCCTAGTGAAGCCAAGTGGGCGGCGCAGCCAGATCTCCTCGTGCAGGCTGCCTTGCACGAAAGCAGTACTGAAGTCAAGAGAGTGTAGCTCGTAGTCTCGGTGAGCAGCTACGTGCAGCAGTACCCGAAGAGTGGTCATCTTCGGGGTGGGAGAGAAGGTCTGAAAGTAGTCAACTCCCTGCCGCTGACTGAAGCCACGAGCCACGTAACGCGCCTTGAAGACAGGCGGAGAACCCGGCGGCCGCTTCACCCTGAAAATCCACATGCCACTGACGATGTTCGCCCCATAAGGGGGGACAGCGTCAACGTAGGTGCCTGTGGACTTCCAGGAAGCCATCTCTGCATCCATAGCTGCCTGCCACTGAGAGGAGTAGGGACCCTCTATCGCCTCCGCGTAAGAGCGCGGAGTCGGGATGTCAATTGCATCCGGGTCTCCCTCAGGGGTAAGCAGTACGGACACGAGATGAGGTGAAGCAGCGGCCAAGCACTGGAACTCCTCCTGCCTGTCCTCAAGGACGTCCGTGCCAAGGGCACACTCACCCCCGACGGACGGAGGACAGACAGACTCAGACTCAGCGACAAGACTAGCAGCGTAGTCTAGACGACAGCGAGCAGCAAAGTCGACAAGCTCAGCAACTAGGGCAGACGCAGCAGTGGACTCAAAGGAAGGGTCAATGACGACAGTAGCAAGGAGACGCGTGACAGTAGGACTGGCAGCACGAAGAGAGACCGACTCCGGGTCGGCAAGAGCAGGAAGAGAAGACTCAGGAGGAGAAGGCAAAGGGGCACGCAGAGGAGCAGTGGACGGACGCAGAGACATCCGGTGCGTGCCACGGACAGGAGGAGGACGCTGACGCGAACCACGACCACTAGCGCTAGCAGCACGGACAGGCGACGCAGGGCGAGACGCAGGCTCACGACGCTCAGTAAGACCTCCAATAGGTCCAGCGTAGGGAGAAGGAGCAGGTAGTGGGGAGGCCGGCTGCAACTGTAACTGTGACGGGACAGGCTGTGGACACGCTAAGGGAGGAGGACCAGGAGGAGGCGAGAGACCAAGAACCTGCTGAAGGAGCGGTACGAAGTACGGCCGAGGCCGCGTGGCGACTCCAGACACAGCAGGGACAGCACCAGCACCCCCAGCGGCAGCACCAGCACCAGCAGCAGCTCCAACGCTCGACTCCACAGCACCAGCACCCGGGTCCGCAGCACCAGAAGCAGCTCCAACGCCCGGGTCCGCAGTACCAGCAGCAGCTCCAACGCCGGGGTCCTCAGCACCAGCAGCAGCACCAGCGCCCGGGTCCGCAGTAACAGCAGCAGCTCCAACGCCCGGGTCTCAGCACCAGCAGCAGCTCCAACGCCCGGGTCCTCAGCACCAGCAGCAGTACCAGCGCCCGGGTCCGCAGCACCAGCAGCAGCTCCAACGCCCGGGTCCTCAGAACCAGCAGCAGCACCAGCGCCCGGGTCCGCAGCACCAGCAGCAACTCCAACGCCCGGGTCCGCAGTACCAGCAGCAGCAGCGGGGTCCGCGACAGCAGGCGCGCCACTCCGAAGAGTGCAGCGCCGCTCGTACCACTCACGGATCCGCTCACGGGAGGGGAGCTCCCGGCTAGGAGAAGAAGCACTAGCACCAGTCCCAGTAGTACGCCTGGCTCCAGAGGTACCGCTCCTGAGGCTGCAGTACTGTAAGTACCACGCACGCAGCTGCTCCGAGGAGAGGACTCCTCCAGGTGTAGGACCCTCAGGCTCAGGACCTCTAGACTCAGAACCCCCAGACTCCAGACTCAACGGCTCAGCACCCCCAGGCTCAGTACTCCCAGGCTCAACACCCCCAGGCTCCGCACCCCCAGGCTCCGCACCCCCAGGCTCTGCACCCCCAGGCTCAGCACCCCCAGGCTCCGCACCCCCAGGCTCCGCACCCCCAGGCCCCGCACCCGCAGCAGGACGAGAGTCGACAGCTACCTCAACAGGCTCAACCGGGTCTACCTGAGACACACCTGAGGGAGCGGCACCCTGAGGGGGGAGGGGGTCTACGACAGCAGCACCTGGTGCAAGGAAGAGAGGCGGGGGGGGGAGAGGGGCAGTGCGGTAGGGGAAGAGGCGGTAGTAGGGGACGGACTTGTCAAAAGTGACGTCCTGAGAGGGCAAGACTCGGCGCGAGGTGATGTGGTAAAACTGCCAACCGGGCGCGTCCGGGACAAAGCCGAGGAAGACGCAGGGAACAGCACGGGAGGAGAGCTTGTCCGCAGACGTATCGCGAACAAAAGCTCGAGATCCTCAGACCCGGAAATGCGACGCATCGCCAACCTCCCCCGTCCACAGCAGTGTGGGCGAGGTCTCCGGCAAGGAGACACGGGGCCAGAGGTTGAGCTGATGCGCAGCGTACCGGACCGCAAACGGCCACAGAAAGTGAGGGGCAGCCGCATGGATCAAGGAGGTATGGGCGACCTCCATGACCAGGCCAATGCGGTGCTCCGCAACCCCATTCTGCTGTGGAGAGGCCGGAAGCGTGAACGACTGCTCAATGCTATGCTCAGCACAGTAGGCTGCCAAGAGGTCGGAGGAGAACTCACCACCTCTGTCAGAGTGCAAGCGCAGGAAAGGAAAGTCCGAGTGCAAACGCTCGCTGGGCTGGAGATGGGCTCTGCGGATCCAAGGGATCAAGACATCAGGGACCTCACCCTTGGTGCGCAAGGGGAAGACCGTGGTGTAGCGCGAGTAGTCGTCAACAACAATCAAGAAGTACCTCTCCTGACCCTGACCACGGACGCGGGCTGGGCCCCACACGTCCATGTGGAGCGTCTGCAAGGGAGCAGTCGTCGGGGGAAACGAGGAGGAGTGAGGAGCGGCGCGCTGCCGCCCCTCGACACAGGGAAGACAGGGAGGAGCAGGCGAGGGTGGGAGGGGAGGGAGGACCCTGGGAAGACCAGAGACAAGGTACCAGGAGTGCATGGCACGAAGGCGCTGCACAGACGGGTGGCCAAGTCGGTGGTGCCAGAAGATAGTCTCGTGCGCCAGAGAGTGACACGAGCAGGGGGCAGACAGCTGACCTGACGCGGACGCAGACACAGACGCAGCAACCTGAGGGGACTCAGTGGTCAGTGTGTACAGGTCCGACCCCGGCTGCCGAGTGAAGGTAGCCAAGTGACGGCCCGTACGAGCACACGTGCAGTGTGTCACACGCTCGTAGGCAGGGGTGAACTGGTGAACACCCCCGTCCTGGAGTGCACAACCTGCCACCAAGTTCGTAGAGAACGAGGGGAGGTGGAGACCTGACAGTGTGCCCGACGGGACCGCAGGACAGGGAAGAACAGTGGAGGAGGTCGCAATGACCGGACCTTCAGAGGGGTCAGCGAGGGAGACAGCAACCGGCCGAGCAAGCGGCTCAAGGGCAGTGCGGTCACGAAAGAAGCAGCGAGAAGCACCTGAGTCCAGTGTGAAGGTGTGCAGTGCTGCCGTCGACTCAGTACCAGGGGGGGTAGATGCACAAGCACCTAGAGCAGCTGCCTCACCAGCACCTGGGGTAGCAGACACGCGAGTACCTGGAGCGGCAGACGCACTAGTCCTAATGCCCGGGTCGGGCGGCACACACAGGTACTCAGCACCGTCTCCACTAGTAGACATCACATACATAGCAGTGAGAATAGCATCAAAGTCTAGAGCATAGATATCAACCCCCTTCTTCAGGAGATCAACCAAGCGGGGCAGCTCAGAGGCCTGAGGGAACTGGACACGCCAAGCGTCGTTCAGACGAGCGAAGCAGCGCTGTGTGGCGTGCGGTCCCCCACACGGCTGACCAGTGCGGTCACCAGTGCGAATGACGTACGTGCAGCTAAAGCCACCCCCCCCCACCCGTGCTGAGAGTACCACTTACGGACCTCCTGGGGCGACGGAGTGTGCTGCTGGCCCTGGCCACCGCCAGCGCCTCCACGACCACCACCGCTACCGCCACCTCCTCGACCACCCCAACCTCTGCCGCCACCGCGTCCACCGCCACCCCCACCACCGCCTCCGCCCCGGCCACCTCCCCCGCCACTGCCGCCACCACCCCCACCGCTGCCACTAGTCCCTCCAGTCGTGCCACCACCCCCATCGCCACCACCTCCCCCACCACCGCCTCCCCCGCTGTCACCGCCACCGCCCTTGCCCCCTTTGCCCTTGCCGCTGCGGCGCCCGCTCGAAGCAGACGCAGTCCCGACCTTCTCAGCACCAAGGAGGTCGACAGCAGCAGCAGAGGCGACAGAGGGAAGAAGGGGGGAAGGAGAACACCCCTCAAAGAACGGGGTACGGGGGTTGCCACGAGAGGCACCTACAGCGACTATGCTAGCCTCAACTGCAAGCAGTTCCTTCTCGAGGAGGGCAATGGTGAGCTCAGTGGGGCAGCGAGCTAGGAAGTGGTCCCTGACAGCACGAAGTGTGTAAGGGAGGCGGGTGACTAGGTGGTAGAGAGTGAGCCAGAGTGGGGGGGGGTGAGTGGCAAGGAACTCAGCGGGCATGGCGGCACGGAAGCGGGCCTCACTAGTACGGAGGTGCGTGATGAGGTCAGCGACTGTGTGGAACGAGGCTAAGTCGGGGAACAGGTAGGGAAGAGAGAGACGGCCTAGTGCAGTAGAGGCCGGTGAGGAGTAGCGGGCAACGACAGCAGTGTACGGTGCCTGTGCAGTCTTGTGCTGCCCAAAGTGCTCGCGCTCATCTATCGGCAGGGAGTTGCGAATAGCGAAGCGAGCGTGGGCGTCACGAGTCTGCCACTGTGAGCGAGCAGTGCTGTCAGCAGTAGCAGCAGGAGCAGTAGCATGGCCTAGGGCGTGATCGTACAGTGAGATGTCTTCCTTGGCAGTGAGCTGTAGGAAGAGGTGTAGGTCATCTAGCCAGGTTTCGAACTTCACTGGGCGGCCCTCAGCATCGAAAGCTAGCACAGGAGGGCTAGCCATAGCAGTAGCAGGAGTAAAAGTGGTAGTAGCAGTGATAGCAGTAGTAGGGACTCAGGTAGGGCGGCTCGGTCCAGGTAGGGCGGCGTGGCTCGGTAAGGGCGGCGCGGCTCGGTTTGGGTCGGGCGGCTCGGTTCGGGTGGCTCGGTTCGGGCTTGGCGGCTCGGTTCGGGCTGCTCGGGTCGGACGGCTCGTTCTGGGCGGGGCCGTTCGAGGCCTCTAGGGGCGAGCGCGGGGCCGATCGGGGCTGTTAGGGGCGAGCGCGGGGCCGTAAGGGGCCGCTAAGGGCGAGCGCGGGGCCGATCGGGGCCGTGAGGGACGAGCGCGGGGCCGTAAGGGGCCGCTAAGGGCGAGCGCGGGGCCGATCGGGGCCGTTAGGGACGAGCGCGGGGCCGATCGGGGCTGCTAAGGGCGAGCGCGGGGCCGATCGGGGCCGTTAGGGACGAGCACGGGGCCGTAAGGGGCCGCTAAGGGCGAGCGCGGGGCCGATCGGGGCCTCTAGGGGCAAGCGCGGGGCCGTAAGGGGCCTCTAGGGGCTAGCACGAGGCCGTTAGGGGCGAGCGCGTGGGCCGTTTGGGGCCTCTAAGGGCTTGAAAACCGAGGCGCCCTAGGGCGCAGGTAGGTAGGTAGGTAGGTAGGTAGTGGTGGGCCCTAAAAAATCGGTCCTGGGAAGGACCTGCTCTATACCATGTTGAAATCAATGAACAGGAATGATTGAACTAACAGTGAAATCAGTACAAGTACCTAACCCTAGAATTGTGTACCTCCTATAGGCTAACCCACTGTAGCCTAAACAAGTGCAACATATATAATGTTTGACACATCCGGGTCACCAAGCCGATGCTGGTGAACGATCACCTCCGCGAATTCCGTGCACACCTCCACGCAGCCATCGTGGGTCCCGGGCCCTTCAAACTCCTCCAGCTCGTCCTCATGCAGCCTGAAGGTGAAGCGCGCATGACGGCCACCCGAGTCAACACCTTCGACTTTCATCTCCCGATTTCCTCCTGGCCCATGGCGCGTGATGAAGGGGGGCAGCAGCTCGCTCACGCCGCCACCGGAGTCGTCGCCGCAATCCACGTAGCGGCTCTCGACGTGGGACATTGTGCGCTTGATCTCCGCATGCACGCTGGCATAGTCAAGCTGGACATTACATGGCAGAAGGTAGTTAGTGGCTTGGAACGATTAACACACAAGATTATATCAGAATGCCCACTGGGAAAAATTAATAATGACATTAAATTATAAGCAATCTCACCTCCTTGTGCTGGAACGCCCTGTTCAGAATGTTGAGCTGCTCAAGCACATCCGCAATGAAGAACAGAAGGTAATGAAGTTTGTAACTTGTCACAAGAGCATACGGCTTCACGTCCCACTCCTTAATCATCAAGATGAGGGCCAGAAGCACAGCGACAAGCCTGAGCACAGCGTCGCCCCGTGAAAGCCAGTGGACGGAGTGAATGCCCTGGAGCGCAAGGGAGGTGCACGCAAAAACTTCCTGGAGCCCCATGTGTCAGAAAGAACGAATGGAAATGAACAGCAGAAGAGAGGATTGCACTAGCAGCAGATAGGATACATATAGCAAACCCTAATTTGGGTTGTACTCACTATTGAGTATCCCAGTGCAGACTAGACAATAACACATTCTGACACCATGATCGTTGGTGCCATGGCCCTGAACGGACGAGATGCTCCGCCACAGTGCGAATCACCATGTCAAAGACATTGAACACAGGAATCTTCTCGGCGGCTGTTTTAGCCGCCAGTGCCTCCCTGGACAACAAATATAAAACGTTAGTATATCGGAAAAGTCAACAATCGTATAAAACGCACTGCAAGTTCATGCAAAAACAGACATGCCTGTGTGCAATACAGTGGGATGAAACCAGATGGGGGATGCGCAGGCGGAGGCGTGTGGTGAGGCCGGACTTGCTCCTCATTATGACATTGGCACCGTCGGTGCTGATCCTTGCGATGCGCTGAAGGTCGATCCCGACTGCCTGCAGATGTGACAGCAGAACACTCAGAAGAGAAGCGGCGTCGGCCTTCTCCACGGTGATTAAAGCCATGAACTCCGTGACAAGCTTGTTGTCACAGATGAACGTGACGAAGAGGATCAGGTGTTTCCCGCTGCACCTATCCAGGCTCTCGTCAATTCGATGCCGACGACGGGCGACGCCAGCACGTGTTCCAGCTGGGTTGTCTGGAGCCATGTCGCAGTCGCTTGCGTCAGCTCATCGAAGCCGTAGCTGCATATGGAAACAATAGGGAGAACATTAATAAAGGAATAAAACATTGACCTACTATTGTGTATTAAATAGCTTCAAACGATTGTACTCACGTGGTGTAGTAGGTGCCGTACCCTTCTTCGGGAAGCCGGGCACACCCTTCTCCGCCAGGTAACGCACCAGCTTCACCCACATCCCCATGGGCGCGTCGGATCTGCTGATGAAGAGCAATGAGTCGAGAAGGGCGACGATGCACATCTTCTCTCCGTCCACTATGGCGCGATGCCGGTCAATTTGCAGTTGTGCTGCACCGCACTCCTGCACAGCTTGTTGTCTCGCCATCGCCAGCTTGTGATTCGACGTGCCCGCGTGCTTACGAAAAGACAGGGTCTGCAAGTTAGTGGCGCCTTTCCCACGTCTCCCGCACTTGCCTCCGTCGCCAGCATGAGCTGCACAAACAGTACACTTCAAGGCAGGCAACCCCGAGGTGGTTTTAGTGATTTGAAGCCAGGGGAAGCGTGCTTGCCACTGACTCTTGAACTTGTCAATTGCATCGTTGTAAAGTCCTTCAATGAGCTGGGCCATGTTTTTGGTGAGGCGAGGATGCGCACGCTCAGACAACCCGGGTGAGTTGTTCACGTCGGCAGACGAGGATGAAGGCTTGGCGAAGCTCAAGGTCGCCTGCTTGAGCCGGATGGTTCGCGACGTGGTCTAAGTGGGATAATGCGATGCCGAAGCGACAGTTGGTTCCGCAGAAGTCTCTGCCATAGGGTCGGGATTAGAGATAACGGTTGCTGAAGGTTCCTTATGGGAGAGGATAGAATCGAGCTCAGCGCGTGCTGCCTTCTCGAGTGCAAGATGACTGAGCAAAAAAATTAAGCCTGTTAAGGCAGGCTGTGAATAAGGGTCGTCGTCATCGCAGGTAGCGGGATTGTTGGGCTGAGCCATGGCGGGGATCTGAGAGAGCCTGCCAAGCAGGAAGGAGAGGTCAAAGAGGCTGCTGAACTGGGCACTGGATAGGCCCAGTGACTTGAAGCTGAGCTGAGGGGTGTGGATGAAACCCTAGCTCGTTGAGGAAGGCCTAAAACACGCATGGGCCATCCATGAGTTCGGTGGGTGGTTGCCTAGCAACGAGGTGCGTCTGCTGTGCAATGCTGGGAGGGATCCACTGGTGGGTGGATGTTGCAGCATCGTGTACCACGATGCTGCCTACAAGACCAATTAAATGCTCTGGGTGTGTGCCCACAGGTCTTGGTGGCACCGTCTGCTTGCCATCACCTTTACGTGGGTGGCAACTGCTACAGCATCTTGGACAGGGGTGGTGGCGGAGTTCGTCATGGCAGACAAAAGCTGCCAAACGCACCAATCAGTGCTAAGGGAGGGTGTGAGCTGGAGCTTCCACCAAGGGAAACAACACGCCGCACGGCAGGTGAAACATCCAGCTGTACGAGGGAAACATCGGGCCGCAAGGCGGCGTCGCCCAAAGAACTTAACAGGTACCGTCAGCCCCCGGATAAAAGCGCCCCTGGGGTTATAAAGAAACACGTTTTTTTGGGGGGGTGCGCTTATAATTGAGGATTTTTATAAGCGCCGGTGCTTATATAATTGCATACATGAAATTCGTCGTTTTTCCACCAAACTGTAGATCCCGTTCTTGTGAATTGAATCGAGTCGAAACTATTCAGGGCTATGATCAAGAATCTCGCGTGCAAGTTGGCAGGGATTGATTCCTTGCCAACACACACAGTCAGAATGAGTCAACGTGCGCCTCTGACAGCTCATTCTGACTGGACGCGCTGCCAGTGAGCCGAGCGAGGGTGAAAGGGCATCGAAATTCAAAATGTGGGAATGGAAATGTTGAGCTTCGTTACAACGATTTCAGTAAAAGTATAACTAAAAAACAAGAGGGTGGCGCTTATAATCCGTAAGCCTTCAGGGGTGCACTTATAATCGAGGACCGGATATAAGCGCCCTCATCCTTTTATAAGCGTCGGCGCTTATCCGAGGCCTGCGCTTCTATCCGGGGGCTTACGGTACAATGTACCACCGCTAATACTGGGCGTCGGCGTACAGGTACATTCAATCACAGTCGGTACTCGTTTGTGTCCGAATTCATCAGAGTACACTCCCTAAAAACATATGAAATTTCATAGTCAGCTGATAATAAAAATCAGATTTTTACAGAGTTGAGGCCATAAAAACTCTGAATTTCTCAAAGTACACCTTAATAAAAATCTGAAATCTCAGACTTTTTCAAGCAAATCAAACAAAAAACTCTGACTTCTGAGGGCCTGGTTGCAAGTGGCAGAGGTGCCACATGGCATTTTCCAGGGGGTGATGACGTTCGCGCGAAACTCACATTCGCGCCTCAACCTGTAATGTTAGAAGGACCAGGGAAACACTCAAGTTGTCTAAACAAAAAAAGCTCTTACACTAAAATATACCATACCACCCAGGTATTATGTAGCTAGGAGACCCCCCCCCCCCCCCCCCACCATATTTTCTCTGTATTTTCAGCTATACCCTAGGGTGTTATGTCCGGGAGAATACAGTAATCCAACTTAGCTTATAATGTGCTCATGCAAAAGTGTGAGTGACTGCTGAACATAACTCCATCCATTGGCTTATGGTACCGTAAGCCCCCGGATAGAAGCGCAGGCCTCGGAAAAGTGCCGGCGCTTATAAAAGGATGAGGGCGCTTATATCCGGTCCTCTATTATAAGCCCACCCCTAACGGCTTACGGATTATACGCGCCACCCTTTCTTATGTTTGCTATAGTTTTACCGATATCTTTGTAACGAGACTTACTTTTGCATCAATTGACCCTTGAATTTTGGTCCCTTGACCCTCGCTCGACTCACTGCCAGCGTGTCTAGTCGGAACGAGCTGTCAGAGGCGCAAACTGACTCAGTCTAACTGTTTGTGTTGGCAGGGAATTATTCCCTGCCAAGTATCGCGAGATTCTCATTCACTAGCCTGTATAGTTTCGACTCGATTCAAAACACAAGAACGAGATGTACAGTTTGGTGTAAAATATACTGATTTCATAAATGCCATTTTATAAACGCCGGCGCTTATAAAATTCCTCAATCATAAGCGCACCCCCTAAAAAACAGTGTTTTTTTATACTCCCAGGGGCGCCTCTATCCGGGGGCTGACGGTAGTCTAATCGCATGCACAGAGAACCAGGCGCTAGAATGCTAGAGACCTGCTTCCTACCCATCTGCACACTGCCTCCCAAACAGTGCCTGCTGTACTGCCATGACAACACTGTTGCCTACCTGAATGCACACTACCAGCCCCTCCCGCGATACCACGGGACAGGACCCCATCAATGTCACAAATGAGGCAGCAACAGCCCACACAAGCCCACACCAGCGCACACCACTCTACACCACTCCGCAGCAGTCCACAGCAGCCCCACCAGGAGCACTGTTGTCTGTTCCACATGCTCCTCGCTCGCTGCGTGCGCCGGTGGCAGCGTGCCAGCAGCATGCCCGCACAGGCATCCGTGCAGCATGCAGCGGGGCAGTGGACCATGCACCGACGCACTGGGGCATGCAGCGGGGCAGTGAGGCACGCAGCGGGGCAGTGAGGCATGCAGCGGGGCAGTGAGGCATGCAGCGGGGCAGTGAGGCACGCAGCGGGGCAGTGAGGCATGCAGCGGGGCAGTGAGGCATGCAGCGGGGCAGTGAGGCATGTGCCACACGATGGCAGTGACAAGCTCTGGGGCCAGGCAGCAGCGGGGGTGACGGCGGCGATGCACAGGTCAAAGTGAGAGGATGGCGGACAGGGAGGGGTGGGAGAGCGACGCGGTGGCACCTCCAAACCACATGCGCTGCCGCTTCCTGCGCCGCCTCTCCTGGCGCCGAGTGAGACACACAGGCGAGGGGGACACGGGCAAGGCGACTTCCCGGCCGCCACCCACAGGCACCGTGGATGGCGCGCCCACAGGCACCGTGGATGGCGCACCCACTGGCACCGTGGATGGCGCGCCCACAGGCACCGTGGATGGCGCGCCCACAGGCACCGTGGATGGCGCGCCCACAGGCACCGTGGATGGCGCGCCCACAGGCACCGTGGATGGCGCGCTGGGCCCCGCTGCTCCCTGCGTCTGGCCCGGCCCCACATCGCCCCCTTCTGCCTCGCTGTGCTGCCCTCCTGCCTCGCGGTGCTGCCCTCCTCTTGGCTCACCCCCATGTCTGACAGCTTCCTCTCTTTGCCGTCTCCGCCACTGCCTCTGCCGCTTCCTCTTGCGCGCCTTGAGAGCCGCGCTGCAGGCGGCTCTGCCAGCCCCGCCAGCACTGAGGGGCGCCACCACTGCACCGCCTCGCCACCCGCCATCCCATCCAGCTGCTGCCTCCCCATTGCTGGCCCCACTGCCATCCTCATTCTCGTCCGCGCCCCCCTCAACCTCCCCCTCCTCCTCCCCCTCCACCTCCCCCTCCTCCTCCCCCTCCACCTCCCCCTCCTCCTCCCTCTCCACCTCCCCCTCCTCCTCCGTCTCCACCTCGCCCTCAATCTCGCCCTCCTCCAGCTTGCTCGCATCAACAGCCCCACTCATCCCATTCATGTGCTCCTCGCTCTGCCCTCCTTCCTCACATGCCTCCCCCCCTTCCCCTCCCTCTCCCTGCGCATCCCCCCCCTCCCGCACGCTCCCACCCTGTAGTTGCTCCTCCCTCGCCCCTTCCCTCCCGACCTTCCTCTCTCCTTCCCTCTCCCTCTCCCTCTCACTCTCCCTCTCCTTCTCCTTCTCCCTCTCCTTCTCCCTCTCCCTCTGCCTCTCCTTCTCCCTCTCCTTCTCCCTCTCCCTCTCCCTCTCCCTCCCCCTCTGCCTCTCCCTCCCCCTCTCCCTCTCCCTCCCCCTCTCCCTCTCCCTCTCCCTCTCCCGCTCTCCCTCCCGCGCCACGTCCGCCATCTCCTGCATGCCCCTCCCCTCAACACGTCTGCCCGACCGTGCTGCCATCCACTCGTCACCTGCGCCTTGCACTGCCTCACCTGCGCCTTGCACTGCCTCACCTGCGCCCTGCACTGCCTCACCTGCGCCCTGCGCTACCTCACCTGCGCTCTGCACTGCCTCACCTGCGCCCTGCACTGCCTCACCTGCGCCCTGCACTGCCTCACATGCGCCCTGCACTGCCTCGCCTGCGCCCTGCGCTGCCTCGCCTGCGCCCTGCGCTGCCTCGCCTGCGCCCTGCACTGCCTCACCTGCGCCCTGCACTGCCTCACCTGCGCCCTGCACTGCCTCACCTGCGCCCTGCACTGCCTCACCTGCGCCCTGCGCTGCCTCGCCTGCGCCCTGCACTGCCTCACCTGCGCCCTGCACTGCCTCACCTGCGCCCTGCACTGCCTCACCTGCGCCCTGCACTGCCTCACCTACGCCCTGCACTGCCTCACCTGCGCCCTGCACTGCCTCACCTGCGCCCTGCACTACCTCACCTGACGCGCCGCCACCAACCTTGCCGTGCCCGCTACCCCCATTGCCACTTGCACCTCTGCCATCTCTTCCCTCCCCGCCGCCCGCATCCTTCATTGTGACTTCATCTCCTACTTCTCCTCCCTTTTCGAACCCTTCCTCCATTTCCTCCACACTTGGCTTCCCTCTTCCCTCCTCGCACTCTTCCACTCCTCCCTCTTCCCCTTCTTCCCCCAGTCTCTCTCCTCCACTCTCTCCTCTCTCCTCTACCCTCATCTCTCCTCCCTCCGCTCCTCCCTCCCCACCTTCCTTCTCTATAACCTTCACTTTCTCCTCTTTTCCGCCCGTCGCCCCTCCCTCCAGTCCCCTCTCCTCCTGCCCCACCCGTGCCAATCGCCCCACCTCCGCCCGCCGAGCCGCATCACCCCTCCCTTCAGCGCCTCCCGCACCGCCCTCTCCATTCTTCTTGCCGCCTGCGTCTGTCTCATCAACTCCTTCCCCCCCTCCCTTCCCCTCGCTGCCGTCACTCCCTTCGCTACCTTCACTCCCCTCGCTGTCATCCACCACAACCACATCCTCCTCCCCTTCCCCCTCCCGATCCCCCTTCCCTTCCCCCTGCCCCTGTTTGTCCTCCTCCCCCTCCGTCGGCCCCGCCAAAGGCCACACGCCATCGGAGCTGCACGCCCCACCGCCCTGCTCTTGCGTCGTCCCGCCCTCCCCAACTACCTCCACCACATCGCTCTCCTCCCTCCCCTCCACCTCCATTCGCTCCTCCATACCCACTCCCTCGCTCTCCTCTTCCATCCTCTCAATTCCCTCCTCGCGCTGTTCTTCCTCCACCTCCTCCTCCATCTCCTCCTCCATCTCCTCCTCCTCCATCTCCTCCTCCTCCATCTCTTGCGCCTGCCCTACCCCCCCCGGCTGCGCCTCCTGCAATCCGCCATCGACCGCTGTCTTTGCCGCCAAGTCCTCCTCCCTCACCTCACTCACCTCCCTCACCCCCACATCACCAACATGCCCCCTTCCCTAGGATCAATCAGGGATCACCAGTGGACCTCTGACAAAAACGTGAAGGAATGTGGTTTGGTTTGAGTTTGGAATGCCCAAAGGTTGGGAGAGGAGAAGTGCTACAGTGACAAGCAGCTTGGCCAGCACCAAACCCTAGGCTTGGTTTGGGAGCACCCCTACCCCTATGGTGGTACACCACCACATCCACCCCATCTTCCAAAAACAACGAATTCACTAAAACCTACAACAAGGAAGAGTGTTGGAAATCCGAATACAGTATGGCGAATAATGTATACTGTTATGCTGTTCGGTTTTAGTGTAGTCTCATTTATAAGCCTCCAGGTCCTACAATAATTGTCACAATTATTGTAAATAATTGTCACAATTATTGTAGGGCCAGAACTATTGGAGTTCAGCATTATTGGAGGCTAGAGGGTTAAATTATTGATACACCATTATTGGTGCGAATGGGCCATTTTGGGAGGGATAGATGGATGCATAAATACCATGCTCTATCACTTGTTCAACATCATTCCGTTTTTCAATGATCGATGCAAGATTTCTATCTTGTTCTTTTCTACAAATACGTTTCCGCTAGGCTGGCACTGTGCCTTTCTAGCATGAATGCCTACAGCGAGGCCAAACAGTTGGATATGTATAGAGCATCGTATTCTCCCGGACAAAACATCCGCCGAAATTGTACACCCCTCGGGTAGCTTGTGCGGGGTGGGTGCTATAGGCGACCTCGTTTGTACTATACCCCCCTTTCTGGGTGATTTTTTATAGCACCCCGCTTTTCTTACAGATTCCTTATTAATTGTTAACTAGTGCCGGTGCAAGTAAGGGAGGATATCGCGAAAATCTCTCCCTCGATGAAATTTCGCGGTTTTTTCACTTAGAATCCGTCGACATTTCCCCCCTCCCACTATTTCGTTGTCGACACGCGCTGTTGAATTGGATCTTCTGTTGCAAGCAGGGCCTCAGATTCGTTTTTTGCCTGTCTGATTTATCAGACTTGTCTACAGTTTTTGTCTGAAACTGTCAGAGTTGGTTTTCCTAAAACTCTTAAATTTCATAGTCACAATAAAAAAAAGTCTGAAACGTTCAGACTCAACCCCATTGAGAGTCTTATCTGTTTGTGATTGGCATTCATTAAACTACATTATAATGACATTAGATTAGACTAGCTGCTCTACATCCTTCCTACCTACCTAGGTAAGTTATCTACCCCACTGATCAAATCCATCATCATCATCACTATCAGATGCATCATTATCCTCTATGTCTTCTACTTCCATCACCTCGTCTGCCAGCTTGGCCCTGTTCTACTGCTTTCCTGCAGGCGGTAGTGGAGCGTTGCTGTGGGGCTTGCGCTTCTTGTAGGCCCTCTAGATTGTTACAATCTCCTCCCACTTGGGCTTGTACTCCATGAGACTCATGCACATGAGATCTCTGAGCCGTGCGTCCTTCAGCGACCCTCTCTGCCACGACTAGATAATGTTCTGGAGAACCCGCGCTCGCACTCCACGGTGCTCAGTGGTAGTACAGCTACCGCCACCCACGAAAGCACAAGGTTGGGGTAGTTGTCCCACCAGTCGAGTGTCTTGGGCATGGCTGTGAGCCCCGCGTGGAAGCTGCGCTCACCTTTGGTAGAGGCTTCAAGCACCGAGGTGAACATGCGCAACTCCTTCTCTGCACGGCGCTTGTTGATTCCTGGCGGGGTTGGGAAAAGGATAACAAAAGAACAAACTGAGTAAACATATACAAACATACATTGGAGCTTAGCACATAACACAATCAGAGAAACGATGAAGTACACTAGGCTTACCTGGCAGTATCTCTTCCGTTAGGTTGGCCTTGAACAAAGTCACAAGCGACTGTAGCCACTGAAGGCACCTCCGATTACTCGTCGGGGATGAACAGCTTAACCCCCGACATCCCATCCTGTTGAAATCAATGAACAGGAAAGATTGAACTAACAGTGAAATCAGTACAAGTACCTAACCCTAGAATTGTGTACCTCCTATAGGCTAACCCACTGTAGCCTAAACAAGTGCAACATATATACTGTTTGACACACCCCCATAGGCGAAGTGGGGGAGAAGTAGGGGTCACAAGACCAGTCAAGGAAAGCAAAGCAAAGCAAGCTCAGGGTGGATCACAAAGTCACCACACATTCCAAGCACAAGTTCAAGGCCACAAGGCCAGTTCACATGCAGGAGTACACACACATATATATATATATAAGACTAGACAAGCAAGAGCAGGTATATATATATATGTAACAGTACAAGTAAGGCCAAGAGGTGAGCAAGTGAGGCAAGACATGTACAAGACCCAGCTGGGTGCAGAAGCGCTGATGATCACAAGGCACAAGTGCCTTGGTGAAGACATCAGCAGTGTTGGCCTCAGAGGCCACGTACGCAAGCCGCAACTGACCACGCTGCTGTAGCTCACGAGCAAGGAAGTAGCGGAGAGCAATGTGCTTTGTTCTATGCTCCAGTCTCTGCTCTCGACACAAGGCCAGCATGGCCTTGTTGTCTACGTACAGGACTGGAGGAGAACGAGGCGGCTCTCCAAGGTTGGTCTGCAGGTAGGTGAGCCATCGAAGCTCCTGAGCAGCCATGGCTCCTGCGTAGATCTCAGCCTCACAACTGGAGCCGAGAACAGAAGACGAGCGGGTAGCCCGCCACGAAACAGAGCCGGAACCAAGGCTGAAGGTGTAACCCTGTGACGACCGCTGTGTAGCCTGGTCGTCAGCCCAAGAAGCGTCTGCGTGACCAGTGAGGACCACTGGACTCCGCCCTCCAAGCACTAGCCCCATGCCCGACGTACTGCACAAGTAGCGCAACACCCTCTTTGCTGCAGCCATGTGCTCTGGTCGGTGTCTCCCAGGAGCAACATAGCGTGCGAGAATGCTAAGAGGGTATGCAAGGTCAGGTCGTGTGCAGGTCATCAGGTACATGAGGCAGCCAACAAGCTCTGGGTATGGGCCACTCGACTCTACGGACTCATTCGAAGGCAGAGCTGAGAGTGAGTGGCGAGTAGACAGAGGAGTGGCCTGAGGCGAGGAGTACGTGAAGCCGAAGCGCTGAAGGACCTGCTGCACCATGTGTGACTGAGTCAGGGTAATGGTGCGGCGTGCTCTGTCCCGGGTGATCTGCAAGCCAAGGTAGCTGCGCAGTTCACCCAGGTCTGTGCACGTGTGTCTCTTCTGCAGCTCGGACTTCACGTAGGCGAGTCCAGTAGTGTCAGCTGTGGCAAAGACCAAGTCGTCGACGTACACGAGGATGTAGAACGGCGGCAAAGTAGTGTCGGTGCGTAGAAACAGCGACGGGTCGGCAGTAGAAGGAGCAAACCCAAGAGCCGCAAGTGTAGTCCTCTGTGTGTCGTGCCACTCACGCGGCGCCTGGCGGAGACCGTAGACTGGGCGCCGGAGACTCCCCTGGGTGCAAGGAGGAAAGGTCCCAGTGAAGCCAAGTGGGCGGCGCAGCCAGATCTCCTCGTGCAGGCTGCCCTGCAGGAAAGCAGTGCTGAAGTCAAGAGAGTGTAGCTCGTAGTCTCGGTAAGCAGCTACGTGCAGCAGTACCCGAAGAGTGGTCATCTTCGGGGTGGGAGAGAAGGTCTGAAAGTAGTCAACTCCCTGCCGCTGACTGAAGCCACGAGCCACGTAACGCGCCTTGAAGACAGGCGGAGAACCCGGCGGCCGCTTCACCCTGAAAATCCACATGCCACTGACGATGTTCGCCCCAGGAGGGGGGACAGCGTCAACGTAGGTGCGTGTGGACTTCCAGGAAGCCATCTCTGCATCCATAGCTGCCTGCCACTGAGAAGAGTAGGGACCCTCTATCGCCTCCACGTAAGAGCGCGGAGTCGGGATGTCAATTGCATCCGCGTCTCCCTCAAGGGTAAGAAGTACGGACACGAGATGAGGTGAAGCAGCGGCCAAGCACTGGAACTCCTCCTGCCTGTCCTCAAGGACGTCCGTGCCAAGGGCACACTCACCACCGACGAACGGAGGACAGACAGACTCAGACTCAGCGACAAGACTAGCAGCGTAGTCTAGACGACAGCGAGCAGCAAAGTCGACAAGCTCAGCAACTAGGGCACACGTAGCAGTGGACTCAAAGGAAGGGTCAGTGACGACAGTAGCAAGGAGACGCGTGATAGTAGGACTGGCAGCACAAAGAGAGTCCGACTCCGGGTCGGCAAGAGCAGGAAGAGAAGACTCAGGAGGAGAAGGTAAAGGGGCACGCAGAGGAGCAGTGGACGGACGCAGAGACATCCGGTGCGTGCCAGGGACAGGAGGAGGACGCTGACGCGAACCACGACCACTAGCGCTAGCAGCACGGACAGGAACGCAGGGCGAGACGCAGGCTCACAACGCTCTGTAAGACCTCCAGTAGGTCCAGCGTAGGGAGAATGAGCAGGTAGTGGGGAGGCCGGCTGCAACTGTAACTGTGACGGGACAGGCTGTGGACACGGTAAGGGAGGAGGACCAGGAGGAGGCGAGGGACCAAGAACCTGCTGAAGGAGCGGTACGAAGTACGGCCGAGGCCGCGTGGCGACTCCAGACACAGCAGGGACAGCACCAGCACCCCCAGCGGCAGCACCAGCACCAGCAGCAGCTCCAACGCTCGACTCCACAGCACCAGCACCCGGGTCCGCAGCACCAGAAGCAGCTCCAACGCCCGGGTCCGCAGTACCAGCAGCAGCTCCAACGCCGGGGTCCTCAGCACCAGCAGCAGCACCAGCGCCCGGGTCCGCAGTACCAGCAGCAGCTCCAACGCCCGGGTCTCAGCACCAGCAGCAGCTCCAACGCCCGGGTCCTCAGCACCAGCAGCAGTACCAGCGCCCGGGTCCGCAGCACCAGCAGCAGCTCCAACGCCCGGGTCCTCAGAACCAGCAGCAGCACCAGCGCCCGGGTCCGCAGCACCAGCAGCAGCTCCAACGCCCGGGTCCGCAGTACCAGCAGCAGCAGCGGGGTCCGCGACAGCAGGCGCGCCACTCCGAAGAGTGCAGCGCCGCTCGTACCACTCACGGATCCGCTCACGGGAGGGGAGCTCCCGGCTAGGAGAAGAAGCACTAGCACCAGTCCCAGTAGTACGCCTGGCTCCAGAGGTACCGCTCCTGAGGCTGCAGTACTGTAAGTACCACGCACGCAGCTGCTCCGAGGAGAGGACTCCTCCAGGTGTAGGACCCTC